AACTAAGGATAATTAAATTTAACCATCAATAATATATCCTAAAATATAGCAATTATTTCATATTTTTGAAACAGAGTCTATCCCCCCAATTAATCTACTACCTCCCACTTTCTCTCTCTAACAATACAATTCACCATTTTCACTATAAATCTCCACAAATTCATGTTACAGACTGGCCACACAATTCATAATTATACTTCTTCAATACCATGTTTCAACTGATTAGGAGCCTGTTTGGGAGTATTTTTGAGAATTGATTTTTTGACCGTTAAGAGAAAAGTGAGGTCCACCTGTGAGAAAGGAAGTCAAATATGACGATTGAAATAGTGAAATAACGGTCAAAAAATCAATTTTTTGGGTGAAAAAATCGCTCCCAAACAAGCCCTAGGTCACAATGAGGATTCCTGAGATTCATCCTATTGAAGTTGCCATAATAGGTGACTGAATTGGTGATTTTAAATCTCCATATTTTATTGTCAAGCAATTACACTTTCATTCCGAATTATTTTTAGGTCACGTAGTTCTGTTTTCAATGCATCAACATCTATCAATGTACTTATGAGCGATTGTGGATTCAATGAACAGTGCATATTAATTGTGAACTTCTATGTATACTTATCAATGTTATATTTTGTGACCGTTACAGTTAATTGTGATTATTACAGTTATTCTGATATATTATGTGAATATGAATTAAAATAATTTACTTGTAAATAGTGATGGGAGTCCTGCACGTTACCATGCTGGTTGACCTTAGCATTGCTTGGTCCTGAACCTATTGAAATGTAAACCAAGTCAAATTTGATGCACATTATATTGATTTATTTTTTTTCCAATACAATAAAATATAATTAGGACATTGAAAATAGTTTATCTAACATTGCAGAACGATAATTAAAGTGGTTACAAATGTAATGATGTGTAAACATATATAATATGTAATTTAAAATAAAATAAAATCTTAGACGTTAGATATTGATCAATGTTATTTATATTCAATACAATTGAGAATTGTCAAGTTGATGAATTTAACATAGGGCATGTCAATATGAGGGGCATATGACATGGGCCATGTTGCTAGAAGCATAAAATAGAAATATAGTTACCTGTCCACTTCCTTACCTTTATTTAACTTCAAGTTGAAATATCCATGTTAGAAAATAGATATAGATATAAGAATATTGAATATGTGGACGAAATTTCACGAGGACAAAAATGGAAGTCATATAGGTTGGTTCATTATAATGGAACATGACAGAAATGGAAAAATAACAAATAAGATAGACAAGAAAATTGAACAAGAGTCCCACACTTACACATCGCATGAATGATAAGTTTTCATTAGAATAGAACTCAACTTGCGCGGGTATTTCAACCCATTTTGTGGATGAGAGATGCTGTGATTTTGACATCCAAATGGACCTTCCTTAATACAAACTCGCCTCCCAAAATTAGAAAACGAAGAAAAATCTCAATCACGGTTTAATAGATTTTGATAAACAATATTACGAAGTGAATATTAGCCAGACGTTTATATAAAACAAAGAGACTAATCACTTTAATGTTATACATGGTTTGCTTAAGCAAATAAACAATCCTATATCGTCTTATGTAATATTTGGCTTAAGCAACGTCGATGTTTTCTTTTTAGCAGACAACCTCTATGTCTATTGGCCTAAGCGGACAATACCCTTAAATTTGGACAACATTCAAGACATGCAGCCATGAAAAGTTTCTAGCTTCGATGAGATTATATTATGCCTAGCTAGGAAGCTTGAGCATCGTTGCCCTTTACTGTGTTTTTCTTTAATTTACGCATTTTGCTCGAGGAAGGATGGTCATTGCACCAAAGTTGTCATGAAGTACACCATTATCGAGTTTAATTCCACTAAAAGAACTCTCGATCCCTTCGACTTTTTACAACTAAACTATTAACAAGGCTACTATATATACAATAAAAAGTTTGTTTGTCAACTATAAAAAATGGTGTCTACCCAATTTTCACATGAAATAAGTGCAGAAAATAAAAAAAGTTCAAATCAATACAGTAGAATGAAAGAGAAAGCTATTTGTAAACGAACCAAGTATATACGTGGAATTACATAGCATAAGTAGTCATATAGACTTTAAACTTTCTTATTCATGGAAGATTCATACGGCAAAATTTTCGTGAATTTTAAGTAATTATTTCATGACATGAAATGAAATGATATTATACAACACTCAAGACAGAATAAATGGCATAATAAGTTAACTACTCGAAAATATTTATTTTTAGCATATTACCATGCAAGGAATTCAATCTAAAATACTCCAAAACCACGAACCATAACATGTTAATTAGTAAAATTAAAAGATCTTATTTCATTTATGTATTATTTCTAGAAAGTTAGAAGATTAGATTACTTGACTTCTTTTCTCAAATTGAAGCTTCTTCTTCGTCCAAGTTTTTTCACAATGGAAGATGTTTTGATTTCCAAGCCTTTCATCTGCACTGTTTTTTTCTGCACGAATTTCTCTTATTTTTCATGTGCATGTAACTTCTTGTAATAGAAAATGAAGCTAGATGGACTGTACTATAAAATTATAAATAATAATACAAATTCAATACATTGCACAATATATAAGATTACATTATTTTTGCATATAGATCATGACCTCATATTTATAAAGAGATTTAACGACAATTAAATTGATCAAATAAACCATTCAAAATATTGATCCTTTTACCGGTACCTTCTTATCTATATATATAAAAAAGAAATAGTCTACATTCACCAACTCGAAAATTTAGAATTTTAACAAAGACAAATTCCGCCCGTAATTCTCTGGATCACTCTAACCTAGTTATCCAATCATATCTCATATTTCTGCAAGAATATATGGTTATGAATTATTTATCAATAAACACGACCTCGCCTCCTATAATTAGAAAACGAAGAAAAATCTCAATCACGGTTTAACAGATTTTGATAAACAATATTATGAAGTGAATATTAGCCAGATGTTTATATAAAACAAAGATACTAATCACTTTAATGTTATACATGGTTTGCTTAAGCAAATAAATAATCCTATATCGTCTTATGTAATATTTGGCTTAAGCAACATCGATGTTTTCTTTTTTGCAGACAACCTCTGTCTACTGGCCTTAGTGGACAATACCCTTAAATTTGGACAACGTTCATGACATGCAGCCATGAAAAGTTTCTAGCTTCGATGAGATTATATTATACCTAGCTAGGAAGCTTGAGCATCGTCGCCCTTTACTGTGTTTTTCTTTAATTTGCGCATTTTGCTTGAGGAAGGATGGTCATTGCACCAAAGTTGTCTTGAAGTACACCATTATCGAGTTTAATTCCACTAAAAGAACTCTCGATCCCTTTGACTTTTTACGATTAAACTATTAACAAGGCTACTATATACACAATAAAAAGTTTGTTTGTCAACTATAAAAAATGGTGTCTACCCAATTTTGACATGAAGTGAAGAAAATCGAGTTAAAAGTTCAAATCAACATAGTAAAATGAAAGAAAAATATATTTGTAAACCAAACCAAGTATATATGTGGAATTACATAGCATAAGTAGTCATATATAGACTTTAAACTTTCTTTATTCATGGAAGATTCATACGGCAAAATTTTCGTGAATTTTAAGTAATTATTTCATGACATGAAATGAAATGATATTTTACAACACTCAAGACAGAATAAATGGCATAATAAGTTAACTACTTGAAAAGATTTATTTTTAGCATATTACCATGCAACTAGTGGCGGATTCAAACAGTTCGAACTGTGGGGTCAAAAGTGAATTTTTTTTCGAACAACGTATCATTAACGAAAATAAGATCATATGCTACTACAGTAGGATTTGGGTTAGGGCTTTTTGAGCATTGGACTAGGAAAATTAATTGAGTTGGTTCACTACTTTGGCAGGAAATTATGTTTTAAGCAAGGGAAAAAAGCTGTGAGGTCGTTTGACCCCACATGACCCCATATGGGTCCGTCAGTGCATGCTGGAATTCAATCTAAGATACTTCAAAACCATGACCCATAACAGGTTAGTAAAACTAAAAGACCTTATTTCATTTATGCATTATTTCTAGAAAGTTCGTAGATTAGATTACTTGACTTCTTTTCTCAAATTGAAGCTTTTTCTTCGTCCAAGTTTTTTCTCGATGGAAAGATGATCAAGAGCCTATGATGTTTTGATTTCCAAGCCTTTCATCTGCTCTATTTTTTTCTGCATGAATTTCTCTTATTTTTCATGTGCATGTAACTTCTTGTAATATAAAATGAAGCTAGACGGACTGTACTATAAAATTATAAATAATAATGCAAATTCAATACATTGCACAATATATACGATTACATTATTTTTGCATATAGATCATGATCTCATATTTATAAAGAGATTTAACGACAATAAAATTGATAAAATAAATCATTCAAAATATTCATCCTTTTATCGGTACCTTCTTATCTATATATAAAAAAGAAATAGTCTACATTCACCAACTCGAAAATTTAGAATTTTAACATAGACAAATTCCACCCGTAGTTCTCTGGATCACTCTAACCTAGTTATCCAATCATATCTCATATTTCTGCAAGAATATATGGTTATGAATTATTTATCAATAAAATATTTTCTTTGGGAGATTATGGATTATGGATTATGTGCCCATGTCTCATACGTAACCATACCTCATCAATATATCCCATTTAAATTAAATTAAATTAAATTAATTTCTCTACATGGATTGGTTAATGTTGTCCAATCAAATTATTTCATAGGCATTAGTGCCAATGATTTAGACACACCTTTTTTGAAAGGATAATGGTGGGTCACATACATGTATTGGAAATTGCAACAATTTTGAAAGTATCAACTTGGAAATTTCATCAAATTTGGATTATAGTTGTTGGCCCAAATTAAGCCTCCCATTTTATAAAATCTACTGAAAAAGATAGGTTGATTTGGACAAAAACACTGTACACAAAATCAGCATAAGAATTGAATACAATAAGCTTATAATGGCATTTCCTTTGCAATAGCAACATGCACAAGTTGTACACCATGTCATTGTCATGTCATGGGGCATATATATACATAGTTAATTGAAAAACGCTTTTTCACATATGATGTCTAAAAATTTGATTCATAAGTCGTTGGCTCGGAAGCTGATTCGGTCTTTGCATGGAAAGTCTAATTGATTAGCAATGTGTTCAAATGATCTCTCCGACGAAAAGAAATTTTGAAGCGCTTTCAATTTTTGTGTCACTTTAACTTGTGTGCTGAAAATTGCTTTCACAGGTCTGTGGTCCGACAGTTTCAATTCGCCTCTTTCGTATGAATGTTGCTTCAACTGATCTTCCCCAAACCAAATTATCCGATCGCACCTACCCACAAATGCAAACATACATCTATCTTAACATTAATTAATTGATGTCACGCTTTCCCTTATAATTTGTCAAAGACTTAAATCTTTTACGTACGTATGCAATGACAATTTTTATACAATCTAATATATAATTATGTCACCTCTTCGGTAATTAAATTGCGGGATATATACGTTACCATGCAGGAACACGTTTCTTTTCGCCCCTTTTGCCTTCTAATCCGCCAAAATATTGGTCAGAATTTGGATAATATTTGTATGTAGGAGCAAATTTTATGGTTCCTTCGTGCCAACCTTCAAAAACTTGACTCTCCTTCAGTTCCATCCTTAGCTTTATTATCATGGAGAAATCGACGAAAATTTAGCGTCTTTATTAATTAATATATAAACATAAAATGTATACAAGTTGCGAAAGTAGTGGGTATATATAATTACCTGGTCGTTCTCCAGCAATGCATTCCATTCTCCTTTGTTTACCAATAGTCGTGTTGCTGATTCAGGCAATGAGATTCTGTAATTCAAATCTCCTAGAAAAATCACTCGGCTGCATCAAACAAATTAATTTAATTAATGATGGACTTCAATTAGTCGTGATATCGATCAACTTGTATGTATATTCTAGCTTTTTTTTAAATAATTAGCACTGTAGTTAGAGAAAGAGTTTCAATGTAAGTTTGGAACAATAATCAGAAGTCAACTTAATTAAGAAAATATACTAAATTTGTTTATCATAATTAATACTTCAGTTTACCAATTGAAATCGAACTTTATTAAGACGGTTTAGCAACTAGTTAACAATCTAGGTCCAAAAAGCATCCGGTAACGTTATATGAGATTAATAAAAATATAATAGTAAAAAGTTGTTTTCTAATTTAAGGCTGATTCGGTCTTTGCATGGAAAGTCTAATTGACTAGCAATGTGTTCAAATGACCTCTCCGATGAAAAGAAATTTTGAAGTGCTTTTAATTTCTGTGTCACTTTAACTTTTGTGCTGAAAATTGCTTTCACAGGTCTATGGTCCGACAGTTTCAATTCGCCTCTTTCGTATGAATGTTGCTTCAACTGATCTTCCCCAAACCAAATTATCCGATCGCACCTACCCACAAATACAAACATACATCTATCTTAACATTAATTAATTGATGTCACGCTTTCCCTTATAATTTGTCAAAGACTTATATCTTTTACGTACGTATGCAATGACAATTTTTATACAATCTAATATATAATTATGTCACATCTTCGGTAATTAAATTGCGGGATATATACGTTACCATGCAGGAACACGTTTCTTTTCGCCCCTTTTGCCTTCTAATCCGCCAAAATATTGGTCAGAATTTGGATAATATTTGTATGTAGGAGCAAATTTTATGGTTCCTTCGTGCCAACCTTCAAAAACTTGACTCTCCTTCAGTTCCATCCTTAGCTTTATTATCATGGAGAAATCGACGAAAATTTAGCGTCTTTATTAATTAATATATAAACATAAAATGTGTACAAGTTGCGAAAGTAGTGGGTATATATAAAACCTGGTCGTTCTCCAGCAATGCATTCCATTCTCCTTTGTTCACCAATAGTCGTGTTGCTGATTCAGGCAATGAGATTCTGTAATTCAAATCTCCTAGAAAAATCACTCGACTGCATCAAACAAATTAATTTAATTAATGATGGACCTCAATTAGTCGTGATATCGATCAACTTGTATGTATATTCTAGCTTTTTTTTAATAATTAGCACTTAGTTAGAGAAAGAGTTTCAATTTAAGTTTGGAACAATTATCAGAAGTCAACTTAATTAAGAAAATATATTAAATTTGTTTATCATAATTAATACTTCAGTTTACCAATTGAAATCGAACTTTATTAAGACGGTTTAGCAACTAGTTAACAATCTAGGTCCAAAAAGCATCCGGTAACGTTATATGAGATTAATAAAAATATAATAGTAAAAAGTTGTTTTCTAATTTAAAGGTGGCTTGTATCGAAAACGACATCATTTAACCTAATTAATAAGAAATAATTGGTTGTTATACCGCTAATTGATTCGATATCTCTAACGCACCATGTGGTTAATTAATTAAAGACACTAATTAATTAACAAAAAGACATTTCAATAACGAATCATTTTGGATTATTACAAAGGATCTAAAAGAAAAAAAAAAAAAATAACATACTCATGGTCAAGAATCTTCTGAGGCAAATCAAGTGATGAGCCTTTAGGAAAGCTCGTGCGAGACAATATCTCGGCCGCATTTGAATTCCGGTACCTCTCATCGCCTTCTCTACCACCCGATGCAAGATGGCTGCACACGAAGCAGAAACTTGTTTCATGTAATCGAAATCTCACCGAGACTGAACCCTGCAATGCAAATTTTTGTAGCCAAAACGTAGTAAATAAAATTAGATCCTTAAGAACAATTTGTTGACATATTTTACTCTATTGAACACAAGATTTAAATGAAAACGTGTAGCTTTCTCTAACATCTTAATTTTTTAGAACGAGATGAATTATATATGAAAATAGATCAGTTGATACCTTATTTCCTAGACATCCCATGATTCCACAGCCTACACATGAAACACTAGGGTTTCGAACAAATGATCGAAGCTCAGTACGAATCCAGACCGATATTAATATTCCGACCATTTGCTTGCTAATGATGCACCGGAACTCGTACTGATTACTACTCTCAGTAGACTTTCCTTCGTTCTTGAATGATTTCTTGTTGAGGGCTTCTCTAATTAGAGAATTCCATTTGAGGGATATCTTGCTATTTTCTGGTCCTAATACATTTGCTGCTCTCAGGGGCACAACTTCTTGAAACCTAATTAATATCATAACACAAAAATACAAGAAAATTATTCCAAAAGTATACATATGGGCATTTCTGGTTTTATAAGATCTATTTTTTGAATAATAAGTTACCCAAGAACGTAGATGTCGCAAATATTGCACGTGTCTAGCAACTCCTCCATATTCAAGTCCTCTGCTGGTGCCACTCCCCCAACGTTCCATGTACTAACAAAAATCCTTTCGGAAAGAAATAGGATATTATAATACACATTAATTACACGTGGTTGATATAGTTACTGAAACATTAAGAACTAAAACTGTTCTCAGTTCTTACTTGTAGTTTTCTGTGCGTACACGGTCGTTCAGAATGCTGCTACAACTTAGAGATTTCGAGTCGAAACGGGGAAATTCGAGGAAATTAGATTCCAGGTCGCTTGGAAAATCTGCAACAAAATTATTGCTACCCAATCTCTTATTGAGGATCTTGCTAGCCACCAACCTCGGCCACATGACCTGTAGAATGCAGATTAATGATCAGCCATGCAAATAATAAATGAAGAGAAATGAATACGAGAATAGAGGGTGTGCTTACTTCTCCTTTCTTGCCTGGCATGGTGATGAATGAAAAAATGTTTAGCCTTTAAACATGCTTCTGGTTAAATCCTTAAACTTCTGCTCTGATTGGATGATTTATGAAAATGTTAGGGAATAGAAAAATGGTGGATGGTTCTTGCAGTCTTAAACTTTAGCGTTTGTTTGTCTGATATATCAAATATATATTAATTAGAGATTAAATAAACTAGCCACAAGTGGGCGAGCCTCAGATTCTTTGAAAAATATTTCTCATGCAAAATACATCTGATCATGTGAGCTGTGATGCCTCAATAATAGGAAACCAGGCTTGTTCTGACGTGTACACATAAGTGGGAAAAGGGTAGTGGTGTAAATTTACCACGACGACCCAGGCACCGGCCAGAGGTTCCAACACCCCGGTCCGAACGAGCCAGCCGGCCTGAAATTGAAGAAAATAAAATTCTACAACTAATACCTTGGCTGAGTTTTAAGTTTAAAATGAAAATCCTAAAAGCTCTCAACATAAACATTGTTCCTCCTTCCATTTTTCTCTATACTTATACCAATCATAATTCTCTTACATTTTATACATTCAATTATTCTTACATTTATAATTTATTTAGCCCCTATTTGGTATGGATTAAAATTAGATTTATTTTTTATTTTATTTTGTAAATTTTGATAAAAGTTTATGATACATGTTATTGCCATAAAATATGTGGTTAAAATTAATTATTGATTTTGATTTAAATTCAAATCTAAATTGTAATCCTAGCCAAACAAGGGGTCAATGTGTTTAGAATTAAGGATTTCATCGTAATTGTTCCCTTTAATCTGGCATCTCAAATTAAATGTCTAAAGTTATATTCGATCGAATTCACTACTTAAATCAATTTACCTCTCTTGATTCAAGTCGACCATATCTCATTCAAATTAATCATATACAGTCTAGTCAACTTACTACGTGAATTGGAATGAGTCTTAATTAAATGTATTAAATCAAATATGAATTCAATTAAAGACCGTAACAATAATAAAAGTGTACGTATACTTTTTATCCAATTGTTGAATTTCACTATATAGTGTAAATCTATAACTTACCTCTCGATTCATTACAAATTCATAAATCAATGAAATAGTGGTTGATTACTTTAAGTAAATA